CTATCTGAGCTTTTGTTAACATCAGAGCCCTGGTAAAAATTGGCGATAAAAGCTGCGTTTCAAAATACCATAGGAATTCTTATAGCCGGCTAAAGAAGGCTACAGAAAATCATATAGCTGGCTGTAGAATGCGGAGAAAATCATACGGCCGGGCTATACGAAGCGATAAAAAATTATGCAGCCGGGCTATAGTTCCTATCGCCGGGCTTTACACTTTATCGCCTGGCTGTTGCTTTTTCGCCATCGATTATAAAAGGCTATGAGAAATTGTGTAGAAATTCGTGTGCTTTGGAAATCATTAAGTTTGATACGGAGCCACCATAATATTTACAAAACAAACGTTATATTTTCCTTTAATACATATTTTTTTTTTCATCAATTAAAATTAGAATAATCCATACAGAGTGTGCAAACATTTCAAAATCATGAGTTGAAAAACGCCGACTCCGCGAATTAAATATTAGAGCCAAACACAAAGCGGAGCGGCGACGCACTGGCGCCTACAAACCTAACAGGGATACTTCACGCATTGCGCAACGCGTGAAGTATCCCTGTTAGGTTTGTAGGCGCTAATACGCGTTTCGCGCTGGCTGCCGCACCGCAGCGTGCCACGGCGCTTGAAGCAACTATTTCACACCAGAGGTATTGCACAGAATCATACGAAACTGAAGGCGCTCATATATATAAGGAATGGCAGGCATCCATCAAAAGTACGGAGCTTTCCTCGCAAAATAAATCAAGATACTACGGCCCAAAAAGAGAGCAGTGGTCCAAAAACTCACTAAGTCCTAGCATCCGTAATTAGTGACGTTTAGCATACACTTTATCGCCTGGCTGTGAGTTGCTCAATCGCCATCGGCTATAAAAGGCTGTAAGAAATTGTGTCGCCGGCTACAGAAGCTATTGGAAATCTTGGAAATCTCTTGGAATCCGGCCGTAGGTCTATGGTATTTTGGAACACAGATTCTACTGCCAATTTTTACCAGGGAAATTATTACTTGGTACGTACATTTACTTACATTGTATTATTCCATACAAGATTCCGTGTTCCAAAGCCATAAGTGTGAACTCTACTTAATGCAAATGATTCGTACATTCAAACATATTGTTCATCCTATAGAACATTAATGATAATTAATCATTTTTTATGAAAACTCAATGATTTCTTCAAACTCACCTCAATCACAAAGTAAACTAAGGAGAGAATTTTTTTTTTTTTGGGGGGGGGGAGAGGGTTTAAAATATAACCTTACAACTGAAAATATATTTAAGGTCCTTGAGTATTTACAATTGGACCACGTTAAGCAGAAAGGAACCAAGCCACATCAGCTATTGAAATTAAGTTGGACAACTCCAATTGTTGCATGAAAACGGCTATGTTGATTTTTGTGCATAGGTATTTCAGAGAATTTTCTGCACAGTATGAAGCAAATTCCTTAAAATTTTCAAATTAATCTGCATAAATTTTCTCTTGTAAACATTTAAATTGCCCGATTAAATTTGGCAATAGCTGATGTGGCTTGGTCCCTTTCTGCTAAACGCGGTCCAATTGAAGTGAGCCACCATCCACTCAAAGTAATATGTGTAAATGGAGTTTAGGAGATGAAAGGCTTACTATGTAAAATTGGTCTCAACAATGTCAATAAGATGATGAAGAGGGTTGTCCCTTCGGATTCAATTTGTTTACGGAGATAGAACATGTGACTCAAGTCCTAGACCAACAATCTAGAAGCGATGACGTCGAGCTACGGCGGTCAAGCCACGCAACAGGTATCAACAGCGGCCACTGAGATTCCACGGTCATTACGGCTCCGGCCACGCAATACACCGCCGTCGCACACTGAGCCAAAAATTCCTATTCCAGAAATTTTGGAATCATCCCGTGGGGGGAAAACACCTCATTTTTCATTTTGAAAACTACCTCGCGAAGTTGTGATATTTCAAGTGACTTAAGGAAGAAGAAAGCCCTATTTTCGAGTCGGTGTGCTTGTAGAAAATTCCAGGAAAAGTAGGAAAATTGACTCTTTCAAGGCAGGAATCCTAACGGATCCCTTTGTCAATCGAAGTGACGTCGGGCTGACCCGACTGTAACTTTTCTCGCTTGACCCCTCTGTGTATAAATCTTTCGAAAATCCAAATACTGTGGGCAAAAGCCAGGCATTTTCCCGGATCTAAAGCATAAACTACAGTATAGGACCAGTGCGGTTGAAGATGAAAATGTCAAAGTTTCAGGTAAATTTTATTCTTTGGATTTCCTTGAAAACGGGATTATTCCTTTTCCATCTTAACTTTTTTTGTCTTTAAAATCTTATTCGGATCGAAGCTCAATCGATTCTAACGCATTGTTGTTACTTTTTGAGGGATGCAACGAGTGGCCTATTAGGAGACAAATCACAAAATTCTCAATGAACACCTTTGTTTTCCTTTTTTTTTTTTTTCTAAAATTACTCCATTGATATCCCTCTCAAGACGATCCCATAGGAACTCTTGCAACATTTCCATGAGGCTTTATTGGGAACTGCTCAAAATTCCCATGAGGATCAATAATCCATAATCAAGAGTTCCTGTTGGTTGTTGGTCTCTTCTTTTAATAAGGGGACCCGGCAGTCCACTTCCCCATCCTGTTGGTTCTGACATTAGGGTGGCCCAATTATACACAGTAAAATTTATTTTGCGAAGTTTTTTGGTCTTACCCCCTAGAACTGTTCCATTTGATCAAAAAACACTCTCTGCCAAGTTTCAGCCAAATCGGATAATATTAACCCGTGCCGACAGAGCCATCTTTTTTATATGGGATTTTACATTGAAAAACACATTTTTCCAGAAAAATCCATTTTTCGAAAAATGTGTAATTTCTAGAAAAAATCTGAGGTCATATTCGGCTTCAGCAGGAAAAATTGAGTGGGAAAACATGTATTAGACACTTCAAAAAAAATTTTTACCCCTCGTAAAAGCGGCGAAACAACTAAAATATCTAGAAAACGCTAAAAAAGGGTAAAATGACTGTGAAAAATCCCAAATAATTACGTCCGTCTGCATCCGTAAACGAAGCTCAACATATGATAGGTGTTTCCTATGTACTTTTTTACGCTGAGTCGGAAAATGCTATTCATTTTCCTCCATCCTATCAGGATTTTCCGGAAAATCGATGTTCTCGTACGAAAAGAGGGTTTTCCGGGGAAAACTCAATTTTCAGGAAATGAACCTCAACATGTGACGGATGTTTTTCTATGTGTTTTTCAACGCCGAGTCCGATAATGATGACAAAGTTTCTGAGTTACATCAGGATTTTCCGGAAAATCGATTTTCTCGTATGAAAAGAGGGTTTTCCAGGGTAAACTCAATTTTCAAGTAATAAACCTCAACACGTGGCGGATGTTTTTTACGTGTTTTTCAACGCTGAGTCCGAAAATTATGTCAAAGTTGCTCCATTACATCGAAATTTTCCGGAAAATCGATTTTCTCGTAGAAACAGGGTTTTCCGGGGTACCGAGTTTTCCCTGGAAAGTTACCTGTTTTAACGGGAAAAATTTAGTTCCTCAGAAACTCGTAGTGTAATAGAGGGAAACGGTTATGATTTTCGTATTCACCGTTAAACAACACATATAAAACATCTGCCACATGTTGAGGTTTATTACCTGAAAATTGAGTTTACCCTGGAAAACCCTCTTTTCGTACGAGAACATCGATTTTCCGGAAAATCCTGATAGAATGGAGGAAAATGAATAGCATTTTCCGACTCAGCGTAAAAAAGTACATAGGAAACACCTATCATATGTTGAGCTTCGTTTACGGATGCAGACGTACGTAATTATTTGGGATTTTTCACAGTCATTTTACCCTTTTTTAGCGTTTTCTAGATATTTTAGTTGTTTCGCCGCTTTTACGAGGGGTAAAAATTTTTTTTGAAGTGTCTAATACATGTTTTCCCACTCAATTTTTCCTGCTGAAGCCGAATATGACCTCAGATTTTTTCTAGAAATTACACATTTTTCGAAAAATGGATTTTTCTGGAAAAATGTGTTTTTCAATGTAAAATCCCATATAAAAAAGATGGCTCTGTCGGCACGGGTTAATATTATCCGATTTGGCTGAAACTTGGCAGAGAGTGTTTTTTGATCAAATGGAACAGTTCTAGGGGGTAAGACCAAAAAAATTCTGACATTGCCAAATTTGGGCCACCCTATTCTGACATGTCTCCATGAAATTCTCATGCTGACCCGTTGACATGTCATGGGTCCCCCTAAGACCGTTTGGACAGGGTATAGAAAATAGTAAATCAATTCGTTCTAAATACTTACCACTTTCACTGTTTTTTTTTTTTTTTTTTTTTTTTTTTTTTTTTTTTTTTTTTTAAAGTTCTACAGTACTTTCTTTCTTTAACAACTATCGTTATAACGAAAGTCTCTCTGTAACGAGGAAATCTGTCGGTCCCTTGAACTTTCCTATATTAAATATCGACTATCGTTACAACTAGAATCTCTCTATATCGAGAAAATCGGTCGGTCCCTTGAGTTATCGTTACAGAGAAGTGCTGCATCAGGATAACAAAATTTAAAAAATTTGGTGGATCAAATTCCTCGTCCCCCTTCCGGCCTCTGTGTCATCAAAAACTTAATTTTCAATGATTTATTATTATGTTTCCGGATGCGGCTACAAGAGAGCATTTTGTATTTGCACCATCTTAGTTGTGTCAAGTAGCATACTTGCGCATCCTTTAGATCTTACATGCTCCGATTCTCTAGGAAGACGTCTCTTCTAAAGGTCGAGCCGCAGTTCGGAATGGACATTTTGACAGGAGTCAAATTGTCCATTCCGAGCTGCGGCTCGACCCACTNCTGTTTGCGGGCCGCAACGCGCGACGCGGGATGGTCTCCGGCGGCTTGGCGCGCGGCTCCGGGCTGAACTTGAACCGTCCGTAACGGATCCCGATCTCGGGCTGGCTACGTGTCCTTTCTCCGGCATTCCCGCAGTCGAGCCTCCAACACAACAAAACTGCTATTCCCCCTGCGCCTGCCGCCTGCCGCCTGCCGCCTGCCGCCTGCACGTCCCCCTAGCCGCCCGTGGCTCCCCATAACTTCGCGAAATGGCTCGATGGTGTCGCCTCAAGTGGCGCGCCCTCCTCTGACACCCCCCAATTTCAACCACCCCCAGTTGTCAACCCCGTGTAACCTTCGTTAAATTTAAACTCGGTGAGTTTCCTCAATTTGAGGTTAACTTCTTATCACCTCGACCCGTGCTGTTCAGTGTGTTTATAGTGTCGTGATTGGTCGTTCGCAAAAAAGCTCATAACATTCTTCGTATTAAACAGTCTACTGTGCATTCTTCTGTGATTCCCTGAATTTGAGGTTATCCTCTTATCTTTCGCGCCCGCGCCTTTAAGTGTGTATTAAGTGTCACGATTTGAGAACTATGAGTCACTCGGAAAATATTTAGGTGAATTCAAAGTGACGTCAACGCTGGAATCATTCTTCTCGTGCTAGACTTGATAAAAAGATTCCTGGACTTTGGACTTTGGACTTTTCATGGTTTGTATGTTTTTCTGCAATATTATCAGTTATCAGTTACCAGTGACGCAATCGAAGGAATCGTCCCTTGACAAGGGCATTCCGTAGGTTGGCAACTTTCTGTTTAGGCTCGTTTCTGTCGCTCATACCATACAGAACAACCTTTTGATTCCTGTTTTTGACCAAAGGTAACACCGATCTCTCAGATGAAACTGTGCAATGTTTAAAACGCTTCCTTTCGTGCCAGAAACAATAGTGATATACCTATTCGTCGTAATCAGATCTATTTTCTGATGATCTAGATTGAGTCAAAGTATTTAAATCCAAGCATTGGTTTTCAAAACTTAACAGTATAGTACACTTTATAAACCCACCTCTATACTGCATGCTAAGTAAAAACGCCGTATGAACCATTTGGCGTTGCCAAGTTTCCTTTGATAAGATACAAATTTCCTGGTGAACTTATCAATATTTTCCTTCCAAATTTTCAGGTAATTTTTTTTCATAATTTCACCTAAAGTTCCTTAAAATTTTAAGCAAAAACACTCATAGCTTTCCTCAAAAAGTAGCATTTTACCGAGGGAAAGTTGGCAACTCTCGAATGTTCATACGGCGTTCTTTCTTAGCACGACAGTATAGACTAACGGTGCAATTTGTTGCAATTTCTGAAATCTGAAAAACCTAGATTTTTCTTGATTTTTCACTCAAAGGTGCCATCATATTTATTAAGCTCAAACTTCCTTCTTCTTACTTGAGTGTATTTTTTTTTCCATTTCAGAACATAGAAGCAACCAGAAAGCGATTCCTTCATTCAAAACTCAGTGGTATTCTAAACTCTGGTGTCAACCGATTATTCAGTGCTTTTGAGCTCATATTCACCCAATCCACCACACCGAACCACAACTCCGTGATCCTGAAGTCTGACCTACTGGAGTCTCTACTTACACATACGCTCTGTTGATTTCAATTCAAACGAACCGCCGCCTCGTTCGGGTGCCATCCGTGTCTAATTGTCTAATTACCTTCACTATTTTTCGCTCCAAAGCGGAACAGATGTTCGCGGTGCCATTCCTCTTTCGAACAGCTGATTCACTCTCGACGTCAAAAATTTCATCATCTAGCCTAAACCACCTCTTCGGAAGTTGAATGAAACGTCATGAGAGCTCCAAAGTGGTTACTAACCATCCTCATCGGTGCGGCTGGAGCGAACGGCATGGATGATACTAATTCAGAGCCTTTGCAAAACAAGACTAAAATCGACTCACTGAGTGCTTGCTCTCAGGGTGAGTTGAATGGCTGTACCAAATCAAGTGCCATGGTGAGTTGGGACCGGTTCACGTCTAGACAAGCTTTTGCTCCGTCGGAGCATACGGAGTTTACGCGATCGTCCAGAAGGGTGGAGAAATTCTTAGGATCAGAGGCCAAATCTGTGGATTCAAGCTGGACTGAGTTTGCGTGGACGATGCTTGAAAGAGTTGGAGCCTTTGCGGCCGATGAGCTGACGCAAGCTGACAGCGACGCACCCAGGTTTCTTGATGAGATTGCCTCGGAAATTGACGCCTTGGAAGATAAGAACGATAACATATTCAGTGAGTACACCTTTACACTTGTAAGGCTGCATGCATTTTTTCCAAACGATGGGCCTGTTACACATATTACTTTTAAGAATACATACACTTGAATACATATCGATGGTGAATAACTACCAGCTTCTTCGTTTTCTTCGCTTAGAGAAGGAAATCACGGAAGTTTTCAAGAATTGATGTTGATTAGTTTTTCATTAAGAAAATAAAGTATGACAGGAAGTCTGCAACGTCGCAAACCGAGGTACTTAATTTAATAGTTTCACCATCGATATTAAATTTGCATATTACATGTTAAGAAATGGATAAAGTGTAGCTTGAAACGAGACAACTTTCGGGAGCCGAAACAGGCCAGCTATTTTCAAGTGGTTGTCAGAATTCTATAACCATTTTCATCTTACAGACAACTTTTTTCCTCAGAAAGATGTAATTTAGAGACTCCGGACAGCTATTTCTCCTCTAGTGTAAAAATTACTCTCGGAAGTCAACACCTAAATTTGTCTGATGATGGCTGCGGATTGTGGTTCATTATTTTTATAAAACCATAAGCCTCAAATAGTGAACTACATTTTAATGACTATACTGTCAGCTCGATCAGGACAGCCTACCTCAATATTTGCTAGAGTCGTGGGCCATTCTGGTGTGTCAAGGAAAAACGCCGTATGAACATTCGAGAGTTGTCCAATTTCCTTCGATAAAATATTTATTTTTGAAGAAAGCTATGAATATTTTTCCTGCATATTTGCAGGAACTTTAGGTGAGATTGCGAGCAAAATTATCTGAAAAGTTAGAAGACAAATATTTACAAATTTTCCCGACAATTTGTGATTTACCAGAGGAATTTTGGCTACGATTGAGGGTTCATACGGTATTTTTGATTTATTACGGAAATATAGTCGCGGGCATTTATGCTAAAAATAAATATTTGCAGATGAATTTAAATGTAAGGAAGTTCTTGGATAAGTAGACATGCAGTGGGGAATTTTTGGCTGACGGCATGTTTTTGCAGAACGAATTGGCACATTAAAATATCACTGTGAATACAAATATAGAATACTAAGTCAAAAATTCTACGCCCTTGCCATATTCCTAGCTGACATTGTTTTTGACAAGAGGATATGAACAGTGAAGACCGTTACGACTTTAATAAGGAGAATTTTTGCATAAGATCAAAAAAGAATTATGCACATAAACATCGGTATTATTCCCATCTTTTAGAGATTCCTCAAGAGGCCAATTGCTTGAATCTCAAACCTTAAGGATTCGAACGGATCCCAATTTCTTTCGAGGATATTTTCCATGGACTTGTTGCATCGTTGCCTGTGCCGATTATAGAAACTAGAGAGCAATCGGCAATCCTAGTTAAAATTAACTCGAAAGACGATAGGAGTGTTCTTTAAGCTCCTGCTCTGGACTATTCTGTCGAGGCTGGTTTGCCAATGAGGTCGCAGAACGCCGCTGTGAGGCGTGGTTCATTTGTCCTGTGCGTAGGTATGATTCTATGGGCAAGTGCTCTCTTGCCCGTGACATGATGTGACGAATATCAATCGGATAATAAAATCCACTCGGCCGAAACACGCCGATCCCTCACGCGTGCCTGCTGCCAGTAAAGTAGTCCGGTGACGTAGCAACTATTCTACCTGGCTCCTCTGTGATTCGATACGGCTTTTTACACAGTTGCTGCAAAATACAATATTTGGAAGCAACTCATCGAAAATTTTATGAAATATATCTTGAAATTATACTAACATAGCAAACGGATCTAATGCACACAAAGAGAGATAGTGAACTGTGGTGTCTCTTCACGTGTGCAATGTTTTTTTTTTTAGAAAAAAAGAAGTAAAAATCAAAAGTAATGGTAAAAGTAATAGTTCCATATAAATAGTACTTTTGGAGTGACATTTGGCACCATTTGAAAGGTCATAAGGCGTTTTTCCGTAGAATAACTGTATTTCTTTGTCAATTAATTCATAATTCTTCAACTGTAAGTCATAGGTCCTCATCAATACAGGTGACGTACATCAATGAATCATGTTTGAGCCACAACTCGCGTAAGGGAATGAGAGTTTGAAAGTGACCTCTATGTTTCTAGCTTTGCGTTAAAGTCTCTTTGGAAGCCCCTCTTTTACTGCCCATGATTGTCCGCCAATACACGTTAGCGATGAGTCGTATGGATTAAAATAAGCTTAAAGAAATGACAACTTGAAAATGCCCTTTATGTTTCTAGCTGTGCATTAAAGTCTCCGTGGAAGTCTCGCATCCCCTCATACTTCTCAGGCCCTAACAAGCAAAATACAAAGCAATGAATTAATACAGATACAGTTACACTACTGTTAACTGAAATATGTATAGGAAAATAAGAACTTGAAAGTTACCTCTATGTTACTATCTGTGGGTTTAAGTCTCCTTGGAGATCCCTCATATACTGGTCATGTCCACCCCAAGATGCGTAGAAACATTTAGAATACAGCCAATTGGTGAATGCAACTTAAGAAATTTCAATGTGGGGTTGGGGTGCATTGCCAAATTTAAAAGCAAACTAGTATCGATTTTGTTCCCAAGCAATGCGGCGCGATGAAAAGGGATTTGTAAAATTAACCTGCTGTGGAGAAAGGCCATATGAACCTTCGGCTGTTGCTAAATTGCCTTTGAGTAAAAGCAGGTTTTTTTTTAGAAATATTGAAAATTTGTTTTCTAATTTGTTCGAGAAGTTTGTCCGCACTTTGATCTGAATCATTCGAAACCTTCAAAGATATCTACATTTTTCCTTAAAAATAGTACTTTATGAGAAATATTTGGCAACGTCCGAATTTCCATACGACGTTCATCCTCAGCGTGGCTGTGAGTTTCTGTCAATGTTTTCATAATTCCTTAAATGTAAGTAATAGGTCCTCAGGAAACGTAGAAACATACAAAAAACAACCAGTAGGTGGATGCAACTTAATTAACTTCGGTGTGAGGTTAGGTTGCATCGCCAAATTTGAAGGCGAACTAGCAGCGATTTCGTTTCAAAGCGATGTGGCACGAAAAGGCGCAAGTGAAACGGCGAGTGCCTGGAGAATCAAAAAGCCTTCACTTGCTTGCGCACGCAACTCGGACATCCGTAGAGCCCGAATAGTTGCATGCACCCGTTACAGTGAGATTCATTTAGTGTCTGTCGCACGCTACAGTAATAAATGGTGCTTTTCTTGTTTCTCTCACACATTTACTAATTCCAGCGTTGCTTATTATTCCGATGAATTACACTATCGCTGATTTTATCGCGAAATTGTTAGCTTTTCGAAAAATTATTTGATTGTTGGAATGTGTTAAAACATTGCCCTCCTAAAATATGTACTGTGGCCTTTACACTTCCTGGCATAAGAGAGATAAATGCGGCCAGGCCCCCCAAATCTATCGGTGAGCCCCAATGCGTCAGCCAGCGGGCCCCCCTTTCCGCAAACTTTCCAAGGGGGGTCTGGGGGGCCGCACCCCAGTAAGAGGAGGGTTCGGGAATTTCATGAAACGATTTTAAAATTTTACATTCAATTTGAGTAATTTCATGCTATTTTTGCACGCAGAGAGAAATTTTAACACAAAAGTTTGGTTAATACGGGAGGTAAGACACAAAATAACTCTAGCCTTCGGTTGACAATTTCAAGAGAAAATGCAAGCTAATTTTCTTAACGATTTAATAACAAACGAGTGGTGAGTGCCAACGTCGCACTCGGAGGCATGCACTTTTCCGGTCTCTCCGTTACTTTCTGCGCTAAATTAATCACAAACTTTACCAAAATCAACACAAAAATTGTGTTTCACCTCCCATACTAACCAAAAATAGCACACAAACACAAATATTTTTATCGGTGCACTTATTCAGATTAGTTAAAGCAACATTTTTTCTCCTTTCAAAATCTCAGAACTATTGCAGTTGTTTCATTTGTCATGAGCAGTAATGAAATATGACAAAGGCCATATGAAATGAGCTTTAAGATTTAAACTTATAGCATTTCTTAATTTCGGGGTTTGCACTCCCTGGTAAAAATTGGCAGTAGAATCTGTGTTCCAAAATACCGTAGACCTACGGCCGGCTGTAAAATTTCCAATAGCTTCTATAGCCGGCTACATAGCCGATGGCGATTAAGCAACTCACAGCCAGGCGATAAAGTGTATGCTAAACGTCACTAATTACGGATGCTAGGACTTAGTGAGTTTTTGGACCACTGCTCTCTTTTTGGGCCGTAGTAACTTGATTTATTTTGCGAGGAAAGCTCCGTACTTTTGATGGATGCCTGCCATTCCTAATATATTAGAGCGCCTTCAGTTTTGTATGATACTATGCAATACCTCTGGTGTGAAATAGTTGCTTCAAGCGCCGTGGCACGCTGCACTGCGGTGCGGCAGGCGGGCAGCCAGCGCGTAACGTGCATTGGCGCCTTCAAACCTAACAGGGATACTTCACGCGTTGCGCAATGCGTGAAGTATCCCTGTTAGGTTTGTAGGCGCCAGTGTGTCGCCGCTCCGCTTTGTGTTAGAATTATTTAATCTGTCGGAGTCAGCTTAATTCAACTCATGATTTTGAAATGTTTGCACATCCTGTATGGATTATTCTCGTTTTAATTGATGAAAAAAATATGTATTAAAGGAAAATATAACGTTTGTTTTGTAAATATTAAGGTGGTTCCGTATCAAACTTAATGATTTCCAAAGCACACGGATTTATACACAATTTCTCATGGCCTTTTATAATCGATGGCGAAAAAGCAACAGCCAGGCAATAAAGTGTAAAACTCGGAACAGCTAGGAACTGCTAGGAACAGTTAGGAACTATAGCCCGGCTGCATAATTTTTTATCGCTTCGTGTAGCCCGGCTGCATAATTTTTTATCGCTTCGTATAGCCCGGCCGTATGGTTTTCTCCGGATTCTACAGCCAGCTATATGATTTTCTGTAGCCTTCTTTAGCCGGCTATAAGAATTCCTATGGTATTTTGAAACGCAGCTCTTATCGCCAATTTTTACCAGGGCTTTTAGGTACCGTCCATCACTTTTACTTGGAGGCAAAAATATAAATCCAGATAAATTTTCCCCACTAATTTATTAAAAGAGCTGTTTTAATGCGCTGTGTAATAGATTAAAGATATTTGCCTCAAAAGTTTCTAGGTGCTGAAATTGGCTTCCTTCCGTAAAATCACCTCAAAACTTTAACTGCATTTCTCCAAATTTCACGATCTCTCATTCGGAAACGTAAAATTTTCTTAAAATAAGTTTTTTGGGTGTTTTTCTGGTAAACGATACACTAATCCTCATTTCTCAGACAGAGAAACGTAACTCCATCCCGAAATTGCAAAATTGACTCAAACAAGTCATTTCTTCAGAAATATGTACCCGTGCACTTTTCGTCCAAAATTTGTCTGATTTTTACGTGGAGTCACAGAAAAAATCGGTGAAATCATCAATTAGAAAAGTCCAAAATTCTCCAGTTAAAAATTAAATTTGCGGAGGTCAACCTGGCAACATTAAAATGTAATTATGTTTCTTAGTGAGGAAAACGACGAAATAACCCATTTTCGTTGATGTATGACTATGTGATCACTATATTCATTTGTTTCTTGGTTGTTTTTTTTTGTATTCGTACATTTTTCATTATTATTATATTCTCTCGAATTTTTATCTGAATCACTATTTCGTCGCTTGGCTGACATAAGGGCGTAACTACAATTTGAAATGAGCCCGAGAAAGCACTAACAGTAAGTTACATGGACAACAGGATTCATCTTCAAGTGTAGATACGCCTTTATGTCAGAAAGGCGACGATTTTCTTCACAAACATCTTACAGAATTTGGTCTTTTTGCCAGGTCGCACGAAAATGAAGAAGCTGCTGATCCCTCTGCTGCTGGTTTTGAAGGTCTTCAAACTGAAACTATTACTGTTCTTACCGCTGATCCTGGGTCTGGTTTCATTTAAGAAGCTAATCGGCGTCCTGATCTTCGCTCTACCAGCGCTCATCGGTTTCTTGAAGCTCGCCAAGCTGCGGGAAATCAGTCATAGCTACGGGAGCTTTGGACACAGTAGCTACTATAACCTCCCACCGCACCGTCGCTATCAGCTCGCCACCGACGATCCCGGCGTCTACTCCCGCTACGCACCCCCACCCCATCCAACCCTGAGGGACAAGCACAGGGATGCATACCAGTATGCGGGAACGCACCAGTCCCTCGCAAGTCCTCAGGGTAATTCGCAGGATGACCGACACCATTTAGCTTATAATAGTTACCAAAGACCTGTAAATAAATGAGCTTGTTGCCAAATTCTGACTTAATTTATGTACTGTCATCGCAATCCTAATATGACGACACCCGCCCTCTTTCGTCCGTCGTTCCAAAAGATGAGTGAATTTTCAACGGCAAAACTGCAAAATATTTTTGAAATCAAATAAGTATTTTTTTCTTTAAAACAAAAAAAAAAAATGTTGAAAAAGCGCAATTGAGTTCACTCAAACTCTAAAAAAAACTGTTCACCTGGTTTTAAGTTCATGCAAACTTTTTGTGAACCGTTTCTTTTTCGACCTGTCGAAGAATTTTTAGTTTTTGGTTTTTCTGTTTACAAATTCCAGTTGTTTGTCGGTGTTTCCTGAACTCGATGTTTCCTAAACTCGATGTTTGGCGACGATTGGCCTTTTATTTTCAGGGTCATCAGTATTTTTGTGAATTTGAGAACCCTTGAGTGAAATTGAGGAAAAGGGCTTTCCTCACTATCTCTCGACTAAGTAGTTATGTATGGTATAGTAATGCTCAAAAGGGAAACCCTAAGGAGACGAGACAGGGATTTTAGATATAATACAGATATTCAATCAAAGGAAGCGTGCGCACCAACAATTTGACTATGGGAATACATTCAATTAATTTTCATAAAATCAAATTCTCTTGTAGAATTCAATATTCTCTACTTAGAAGATTTTTTTCTTAAAATTTTGGAGATCTTTGAACAAAGCAAAATATTGCATTTTTCATTTTGAATGAAAAATAATCGCATGGATCGCGATAAATAATAGTGCCATTTTTTCACATTTTGTTGGAAACTGAATCGCTAACAATTTAAAAGCACTAAAGAAATCATACACTTTCAGAAAATTAGCTAATTTTTTTCCTTTCTTTAAATTGTGATTTGCAATCATCTTTGCTCATAAAACTACGAGGAACACGAATTTTAATCGCAGGATTTAGACATAACCGTTCATATTTTATCTCTCAAAATGAAAAAAAGTACTTTCTATTGGCTGTACCACAGTTTCGGACATCTTCACTTTCGCACACTTTTTCAGTTTTCAGTTTGGACAAGTGCAGTTTGCACAATTTTGTTGGAGCTCAATTTGGTAATTGGAAAGTAAAATGTTCTCCTTCTATTGTCTAAAGCGTTAAAATCATAAACCTTTAACGAAAATTGTCATTGAATTATGTGACATGATTCTCCATCTAAAAAAAGAAGTTTGAGAAAGGTTCGCGGTGACGGAAACTGAGACAATTGTTTCCCTGATCTACTCATCTATTTCGTGCTATTGTGTTTATGAATAAGTCTTCTACAACAGTATGACGTATTGCAATATGCGTAATCAAAGCTCATGGTTTCAGGACATTTTGTCAACGATTTTTTGTCCGCGCACCTTTTTTGTCTAGTAGTTTACGCCCACGCGTAAAATAAGCAACAGTGACTTGGTCCAAGCGTTATATATTAGTCGGTATGTAAAATTATATTGACAATATGGAAATATGAGAAATTGAGAGAGAAAGAGGTGTTGTTATGGTTTCTCATTTTCTAAATGAAATGTTATGACTTTCTCCTTTTGAATCATCTTTTTAAATTGTCATTGGTGAGTATTTGGTTTTATTTCTATCCTTAAAATATTCGATGTACAATATACCTCATATATGTACAGGTACTTTTTTTTATTTTTTTTTTCAATTTTCCTTTGCGAAATTATTACTTCCTTTTGAAAACATTTATATTTTTTAAACGTGGCAAATATTTGTAAAACCTATTCCAATCGACATTAATCTCAATGAGCCACAGTTGTGCCGACAGAAACTGCAAAAATGAATGAAGGAGGAAAAAAAACCAAGGAGCACGCAACCTTTAGTTTTAACCCATTTGTACATTGATCTATTAGAGTCAAATACGTCAAATTTTGAGCGTTTCGTTGCGCGTACACCTCGCTGCAGCACAATAAAAGCATAAAATGTAAAAGAAAAAATTAAAGTGCTTTGCAAATCATTTGTGACACGGAACCACTAGTATTTAAAAAACACACATTATATTATTATTCTCCTTTGATAAATTGATACATATTTTTCCCCCATCAATTTAAATGAGAATAATCAATGCAGAGTGTGCAAACATTTCAAAATCATGAGTTAAAAAACGCTGACTATGCGAGTATAAATATCAAAGTCTAACAGGGCGGAGCGGCGTGCTGCCAGCGCGAGAGAATTACTGGCGCCTTCAAACCTAAGTGGATACTTCACGCATTGCACAATGCTTGAAGTATCCACTTAGGTTTGTAGGCGCCAATGCGCGTTTCGCGCTGGCTGCCCGCCTGCCGTGCGGCGGCGTCTGAAGCAACTATTTCACAACGAATAGGTGTTCACAGTATTATACGAAATTGAACGTATTAAGAATGACAGGCATTCTTTAAAAGTAAAGATCTTTCCTCGCAAAATAAATCAAGATACTTATCGTACACAGGAAAAATCTAAGAGCCTTTAGCTGAGGCAAATATAGAGGTTTATTCGGTTCAGGTATAACAAGGTGGGAATTTCTTGAAAGATAATTAAGTCCTGTTACACCAAAGAGGTGTAGAGAGTTTTAGTGAATTTTGTCTCGTGGAATTGACGCTCCCCCATTTTTACCAAAACTCTCAACTATATATTATTCTCCGTTAGACCAGACAGACAAAACAAAAAAACAAGCAAACCCTCATTCTTCCAAAACATTATACATTTTCATCCAAGAACGTCGTGAGCAATTGTCGTTTGTGTTTACATGTGGGCCAATTAACTTTGGGTCTCAAGTGGCACGTGGACCAAAACTCCCGTGCCGAAAAAACGCGTGGACGTAAATTACTGGAAAAAACAGGTGCGCGGACAAAAAATCGTTGACAAAATGTCCTATAACCATGCTCATAATTTACTGGGGAATCTGAAAAAAAGTTCTGAATGAATAGACAATTGCTTTGTGGATAAATGAATGATACAGTGACGCATTCGCAACCCGTCCAACATTCAGGGACTTTTGATGCATCCAAAGTGAATTAGTTTAAAAACCTAAACATCTGAAATTTTGAAAAACTAATACATCAAAGAACCTATTGAGGCTCAGAGATAAGTGAAGTCTGTGTCCTCTGTGTGTCTTAAATCCTACATACAAAAAAAACTGATGGTCAATTTTTATAATTCAACTATAATAGCTCAATAACCATGAATACTTGTCCTTTTACTGTTAAGTTAGGGTTCGATGTGAACATTAAAAAATGCAAATAAAGAGCAAACGGCCAAATATTATCTTTTTAAAAAATACATTTTAGAATTTAGGGAAGTTGTTCTACGTTTGTAAATTCTTCTTCGTAAGCCCAGTGAAAATTCCCTGCTTTTAAACCGGGCCAAAGCTACATTCAAGCGGCGAAAAAAACCTTATAAGCCATATATGCAAAATTGAGGTAATTTCAAATATGCCAAGTGAGCAGAGATAGTACAGGACTGACCATAGCTTTTACGTCCGTGGTAAAAAATATATGAAAAAGGAGGATCCTTGACAATTTTCAAACAATTTTCACGCTGTCTTCAACATTTCTAAAACGACATCTATTTATTTAGCTATTTCAAACATTTCCATAAAATATAATTACATCTTATCTTACATGAAATAATTACAAAACCATTCTGATTGAGTCGACTAAAATGTCATTTACAGTCAATAAGAGCTTTACACAAAAACAAACGAAAATATCTAATGTACAATGACAGTCTGTCAAACAACATACATTAGTTCGCACCCACTTTCTGTTTTAAACTATTTTTGTTGATGTTATTATAAATTTCAAGGATCAACGGGATATTCCCTTTAAAAAGTAAATCAATCCCCCTTGTCTGGAGCCAGATATTTATCTGCAAAAATGCAAAACAGTTTAGGTTGTTGCAACGAGTTCGACTATCTAATTTGCGCGGTCAGCAGTCAAGATTTTAATTACCTTTGGTGTTTTTATACGTATATTAAGTATCAGTTGCATCATTTGGCTCCAAAAACCTGAGATACAAAGAGTCTTGGAATCATAGTATCATTGGCAAACAAATAATATATCATGATTATTTTCTCATTGTTTATATGCAGGTACTGAAAATGACCGTTCTGCAAATGTGATGTTTGTAAGCAGCTATTTGTTAGGGCAGAGGTATTCCATCTCGCTCCTATAATAAAATATTTGGATTAAGTTCAACGTTATGGTTAAACAAGTCAAAAATTATTTCTCTTAAGAGAAATTCTAGCCAACTTCACTCCTCTTTTTTCTTTCAATATAAGAACTGATCCTTATGATAAGCTTTTTACGTTATTTTATGATCTCAACTTTGAGACAATGTCACCAGAATGTTCATTTGGAAGTTTAAAAATGCGTTTTTTTTTTACATTTTCTAGTTACGAAATTGTATATGAAGGAGAACATACATCAGCATAGGCAGTGGCAAATTTATCACTAGAGCTTGGATTTCAGCAATGTAAATACGTCATTTTGCTCCGCATTTCCTTATTGTCAGAGCAGAGGATCAAACTAGGTTTTTGCATCAAAAGAAATGAGCGAGAAATGTGGAAATATTCATAATTGAATGTGAGTGGTAACAAAACCATTTTAAAACATCTTGCACCTCCGATATTCAGGTCAGAACTTTTAACTTTTTCGTCGTTGGAAGTTTGAACTGTTAGTCCTCCGTCTTTCTTGGTCAAAAATTGTTGATCATAAAATTGAAGTAACTCTCAATTTAAATGCACAAAAGAAAATTCTGCTCAAAATTTTTCCTTGCATTTTGCTAGATTTCTCTGTGCAGAAAATGAAGAGCTGCATTGAATTTGAATATAAAAAAAAGTTTGTTTCATTAAAACTGGAAAATACAATTACATTTGAAAAATTAGTAAGTATTTTTCTATTTTCATATTTACAACATTTCTTTTGATTCAAGTGAAAATTATGTGGCTGCATCTCGTTGATTTTGAAAAAAATATCGTTAACTTTCCACATCAAAAGAAATAAATCAATCGTCTTCCTTCTACATTATTGCAAAATCAACGAGCAGTTCCTGTAAAATTACATGTAACATTTAAAATCATGGATTCTTAAAAATCATCTGTCAAATCAGCAACTGTTGGTTTACCCAACCTAGTTTCATTTTGAAGTTTTAAGAAAACAAACATTTTTCCTCAAAATATTAGATCTCTTCTTTGGTTCAGTTTTATTTTACAGCTAATAACATAAGTTTTAACAAGATGGCTTCATAATTGTATTGAATGAAGACAGATTTCGGTGGAGGTAGAGGGCACTTGCTTATTCAAAACTGCAATAACGCGTTTGGCACTTTTGAATGGCGTCGCACTGAGTATGGCGTGTTGCGTTCTGGTAGGTTGAAGGCGGTTTTTACGTTTTTCCTTGCTGGAATCGGAGATGTCTAGCATGAACCAGCTTGTTGATATCGTTGAACGTTGATACCATCGGTGGACTGTCGTTGGGTGCTCGGGGAACTGTGCAACCTGGGTAAATAAGATCGCACTCTTGACCATCTTGCCCGTCCTTGGCAGCCTTCATGTACCTGAAGAACCTGAGGATCTCTGGGTTGTCTGTCGAGGGTTTCCGCAATTCATTGAGCTCCCTGCAAAATAAATCATATCTTTTTAAAATCAATTTTGTCGGCATACCAAAGGGGTCCCTTTCCATTTCTTCTTCCTTTAAACAATATGACATCATTTTAATCGTTTAAAATTGTTTTTTAGGTTTTTGCCTTCTTAGTTCATGCGATATTTATTTAGTGGTGGTAAATATTTTATATTCATATTGATTCAATTGTTTTTGCTACCATTTGTTTATCACTGTGTTGTAACATAACGCACTATTTTCTAATACTTTATCGGCACTGTGAACACGTGACTTGGTGCAAATTAAAATTTTTTCCAAAACCGATAATAAATAACTTACTTTTATTTTTATTTTTTTTCGCAATGACCATTTTGGGCGGGCCGCCCATCTTCAGGTGACTCAATAAAAGTAAGTCATTTATAATTAGTTTGGGGGAAAAAATTCAATTTGCATCACATTTATCCTTCAATATTTACAATTAAATAAAAAGTACTTAACAAAGAAAATTTAATCCATGGGTCAAAGTTAAATAAAATTGTCCCTTTAATTGAATATATCGCTAGAAACTGCAAAAAAGCGTAAATCGGCTTGCGGCATGGCAAAACTCCTGTCATTCTATATTTCCTTCATGGAAAACTTATGAAAATCATATTTTGAAAATATCAATGATTTTTCTTCTCCTAATAAAGAATTTTTTGTGAAGATTTCAAGAGGTACATGATGGAGGATAGGTCAAATCTTAAAAAAATGAAATTGTAACGGAGGTTTCGAGACACCACAACCAAGTTACGCATTTTTCCAGTTTCACCGTCACAATGTGTCGCATCAATAGATGTAAGATCTATGAGGAAACGTTTAACTTTTACATTTTCTCAGTTGATGAACTTGAATCACACTATTCGTTGTCATAAAACTTGTGAAATGTACTGAAAAATGAGGGAAAATTACCTGCTGAGCTGTGCAGAGATTAGATTGCTGTAAGGAGCATATTTTGCCGGGTTCTTGTACATGAAACACACGAGTTTCTCTCGACAAGACTCAACGGTGTAACCCAACGTTTTGAAGACGGCATCGATCCTTGACAGGAGCGGGCTGTAGAAAGGATCGTAGTTGGCCAGCAGCTGCGAGGAAGACGGTATATTCTGGAATACCTTGTAGTCCTGCTGCTTTTCTTTCGTGTAGAAACTTTCGCTTATCCCGTACTGCTGCTTCGTTTTGTTTGAATCTGAGTTGAATTTTGAGGAGTATCTGTAGGGGGAAAAAATCAAATTTAAGTACACATTTCTTACTTCAGACAAGTTCATACATATACACGAGCCACTTTCGCATCGCTCTCTGGCGTTCTGCAACGCCTAACCGACACTTCATAATATACCCTATCCTCCCACAGGCCTTCAGGGAGTTGGCACTCTCTTATTTCATTTAAGACCCCCTGTCGCTACCCTTTCACAGGGCGTCCTCTTTCGTCTCCTCCTAGGAGGAATCCAATCGAAGACTTTCGTAGGCAGCCGCTCTTCCGTCTTCTTGTTAACATCACCAGCGGGCCGATTATTGAAATTTAGTGTACGTCGGGCGGACATAGATGACATGGGTTAAATGGCGAGGCGTGATTGGTCGGCTATGTCTTATCGCTGCTTTGTCGTGCCTTTGTCAGATGGAATGGACGACACACTGTCGGAAACTTAAGAGGTACCGCGATAACTTGTCGTGAGTTCAACCCGCCATAAGCACGACAAAGCAGCTATAAGACATAGCCGACCAATCACGCTCCGCCCTTTAACCTGTGTCATCTATGTCCGCCTGACAAACACTAAATTTCAATAATCGGCCGGCAGACCACAAAAACTTTTTAGTCACTTCGTCAAATAAGATGCCACCATTTACCTCCATGATCTAACGCAATCATTTTGGACTCGGTCATAGGTTTAACTACAATGATGATAACGTATGTGTGTGTGAAATTTACCATCGTCATCCTATGCGGTGAGGCTCAATGTCAGTAGAAATCTGCACTTAGTCGTACATATTTCTTGAGAACATCGTAAAAACTAACCGCCTGTCCAGATAGCTTGCCTGCTTGCCCACACCACTAAAATTGATAGCCTAGGACTGGCTATGGAAGAGAACCAATCTGCAAATATTTGACGAGTATCGATGGAAGAAATCTATCGATGCTCTGCTCGCTCACCGATCCGCTCACCATCTGCTTAATCTCCCATAAGAATGTGAGCTCAAAAGTTGCAGCGTTTTAAACCGATATGTATCGCAAAATCATCTAGTTGCACAGTATCAGCGATACGTGATGGCACTCTTCCGGTTTAGAATTTCCACTTTACAATTATTCATCAGCGTTATATTGTTATTTTTAATTGGAAAACGCGATGACAATCTCATCGAATCGAAAATTCTGAGTAAATCGGGAATATCAATGACTTGTAGTAAAAGTTGTTGAGTGTGTGCACTTTTGCATATGCACTAAAAATTGTTATCGTTGACTTGAAAATACACTGAAAAAAAAAGTCGTTTGGATCTAGAGTCCAGACTCTTAAAACATTGACAAGAAAAAAATACTCTACTTTCATTCGGACTTTCTGCTTGAATCAAAAAGAAATCCGCGTAAATCAAGAGGCTCGGCTCTTCGCTTCAAGGAAAAATCTGATTGAATCAAAGGTATTTTTTCTTGTCAATATTATTGAGAGTCCAGACTCTAGGTCCAAGTGACTTTTTTCCATTGTAGAATAAAAAAGAGCTTAATTTATTATCATCCAGAATTTAGTAATTTGATGAAAGTCAGACAAAATATGTTTGACCCCTCCACAAATAAAAATTAAAGGAATAAATAAAGAAATTGCTGAAAACAGCTAATCGCTTGTTGCACGTATGTACATAGTGGAGCCCGAAAGTTCTATCGTTGAGTAAACAGCTCCCTTTTCTGCGGCACGGTAAGTACCTAGTTAATGCTAACAGATAATTATAGATCAGCAACGCCGCACTATGATAAATTCCACCTATAACATCTACCGCATGATTTTAGTCTCGCATTGCACTGAGAAACGATGATGCGTGGAATTAAGTTGAGTCCAACCATTCCGAGCCAAAGAGCACCTGACTTTTTAACCCAATTAACGGGCAGACATGCCCACCCCACTGCTCATCGACGCGTAACTAATGTTATTAATGAGCCTGGCACGGAATTGAAGATAGCTTGAGGAATAACCTCCTTAAAAAGTACTCGCGAATCTATCTAATTACACGGACAATTGCACGTTTGATTCGACAACTAGGTGTAGATGCATGGTTTTAGATACAACTTGCTAAAAGGTAACGACCGACTACAGTGACCAGTGACCTCTACAACGCGCAGGAGTTACGCGCAAGGATTGATAATCTGTTAGGGGTGAGGCAAAATTGAGGAGCTTTCCGGAAAAGGGGCACACAGTAAAAAATTGCGTTTGAGAGAAATGCATTTGAAGTTTTGATCATTACTCCATGGCCACTAACGGTGACTTTCGTTCGAAATCGGGAGTCCAAGCTGCGATGAAAGTACCACTCATGGTACCTTTGTACCATGAGTGGCCAGAATTTAATGATGGAAACTTGAAATGCATTTTTCTCAAACGCTATTTTTTGATATGTGCCCTTTTTCCGGAAAGATCCTCAATTGTTGGTAAGAAGAATAAGCATTTTATGTCTACTAATTGTTTTGTAAATGCGTATGGCCTTAAGGCTTCACATAATGGTGGAGATCAGCGCGGGTTAGCTAGGAAGTCTGCTACCCCTGCTCCTCTAGCAAAATTTGTGATATAAGAAGAAATCATATTCAGAGGATAAAAGGCCGGTTCGATTCCCGGCTAGATGACTTGAGTTTGATGGTCTTAGATAATGGTCACCGGGGGCTTTTGGTAAGCGTGGGATTAGCTAGTAAAAAAAAAATCATTTTTTTTCTCAAATGCTGGTGAATGTGACAACGACAAGTTATTGATTTCCCAAGGAACATGTTGCACTAATTTGATTATAATCCTGGCAAAAAATTCAGAAAAAGCTGAAGAGACGTCAAATCTAAAATACGAAGCGAAGACAACCTGCTCTGTGTAATAAAATACCTGCTTGCTCCTCCATCAAAATATGTCAAACCAATAGAATCATTTACGAGCCACTTAACGTTTGATGATCACCAATAAACCATCAAACACTATTATCTTCACCATTAAGCTCTTAAAACAAAGTACCTGTATATCCGCATGGAAAAAACATAAAACAATTTTAATTATGGTGTCAATTGCTTCAAATCTACCAGTGATGCCAAGCGGCTGAGCAAGATTGTGGCAGGAGCGTTCCATACATAGTTGTAATAAGTAGATGCCAAATAGATGGTCCGATACAGAGACAAAATTAGGTGTAGTACGGGAACCTTGCACTGACTTTCTTAGAATTGGGCGGGATGGACAAGTAAATATTACTCCAATTTTTTATGCGAGCAGTGCTCATTTCTATCAAGCAATGACTGATTTGAGCGGTTTATTAATTAGCTCATGGTAAATCTTAAAGTGTTACCAATCAGAGATAGTCACTTACTCACAACTAGTTTGATTGTGTGTTTTTAAATTATACAGAATAAATACATTTTTTCGCGCTCTTGAAACTCAATGTGATGGCTATTATTTTTTATTGAATGCATGCGACCGTTATTCTTTCTGCCTTTAGCTCATTTTGAAAACGGTAAAAAAGGAATGAATTTAAAAAGATACGTCTCACCTGGGTGGATTTGAGTTCCATGTACTACACTCGTTTATTCTGGGTTTTAACCATTATGAAAATTATTCTGTAAAAAGTGAGACATACAAGTCTCTTCACATTTATCTTTAATTCATAATTATGCGAATAACCCATCTTCAGAGCTTAAAATCGATTCGTGAATACTTTTTTCAAAATTCCAATTGATTCCAATACATTAGTATCGCATTTTCAAATACGAGCTAGTGCTATAAACTCCTTTTAAGGTTATGAATGATGGGTTTTCGAATGAAAAATCCCTAAAGACTGATGCAGAGACTAGTTTTTAAAGTTTCTCAAAATATTTCCTTCAAATGGGTGTAAAATTCAAAATAAATCTATTTTATGAAGAATTGATGAGTCAAATCTTATGATCAACCACTGAAAGATTGTTATCCTCATTACATTGGTTTTCTGTCAAGATCAGTAAGCTCTCTTTAGTGGGTCAGTCCATTGAAATTTTTTTACTCACCAGCTAATTAATCCTGGTAAATGGAACGCAGACGATGCGCAAAGTAGATTAAAAGTTTTTTTTTTTTTTTTTTTTTTTTCAATTGCTGACACCGGAGGAATCCAACGCCAACCTCGTTGATGCACTTACCATATCCTCTTTCTCAGATATATAAAAAAGAAGAAGACGTGAATTGGCAGACGTATACCTGCGCAATAATTATTCTCATCAAAGCGCAGTTCGCAGGCCAAGACAAACTATTCTGTCTATTCATTACTGTGCCCCGTCCAAATTGCTTTGTCTAAATTCCATTTTACACACGTGAAAACGCAGCTTTCTTTTACCGTTAAATTGAGTTGAGAGTACCTACCGGCCCTCTTGCTTTTCACGCGGCGATGCCAACGGTGCAACTTTCAGCAGAAACTGTGAACCGATGCATGAGTTTCATCGACGCTACGTGGCTCACACCAAGTAGAGGAAGATGTATTCCAACGGTAGGAGGAATTTAATGACATATTGTGCAAGTTATTTTAGATGTATGAATGATGTGAAGCTATAAAATTCTCTGAGTCCGAATTGATGAGCTGACCACCAACGGTGAAACTCTTAATTGAGGGGTTGGAGGCCAAGGCGCATAAGGGTAGTTTCTTAGAAAATGGGGATATTAATGATTTCACATAAAACTAGTCTTAATACATATCTCATGAAAAATTCACTCCCGATTTCCAATTTTTAAGCATCAAAAAGTCAGTTTGAACTTTCTTTTCGCCCTAAGAATCCGTGTAATTTGACGTACACCTATTTTGACATTTGACGTGTAAAACATGTGATTCTCGAAATAACAAAACCAGCACTTATGCGCCTTGTCCTCCAAGCCCCTCAACTATTATTTCAAATGTTTTTACGTATGATCTAGAAATTCAGATTGGATTTTTTCATAAATCATGCGCACTGTCAATAAAATCAATGTGGATTTAAGGTTCAGTTACTTATTTTAAAGTTTAAATACTAAAGTCGATATTCA